CTCCTCGTAGCGTACGAAGTGCGTCGCCCTCGTGCCTTGCTTCGGCTCGTTCGATGCTGCTGGCCAGTCGAAATTACACCGCGCCGCGACGCTGTCAAAGTCGTCCCTGTCCGTTTTGTCGCGCCCTTCCATTTAATTAGGTACTCCCACCGTTCGGTCGCGTCCTCCCCCGTCTCCCCCGTTCGTCGTGCCCCGTCGATTCGTTCGTACGTCCATTTGTCTTCGCCCTTTACTTGTCCATTTCGGACTCCCCTCTGTTCTGTCGACGCTTCCGCCGCAATTCGGATGGCTATTCTCTGATCACTTCTGTTCCATTCTAGCCCTGCCTCGTCCCATCGCTCGTGCCTCCCCGCAAACCATTGTGCGGTCGTCGCCTCTGGCTGTCCGTTTAACTCGCCTAGTAGCTGTTCGTAGTCCTCTTTATCTGTCTTGCCCCGCAACTCATGGACCCTCGATGCCTCAGTCCACGTCATCCATCCGTCGCCCTTCTCGTTTGTCACGTCGCTCCACCATACCAATCCGACCTCCGCGAGCCTCTTCTTGTATGTGCACCGTCGGGCGCCTCGCCTCCACATGGTCATGCTGTCTTCCCATAGTCGTGGGCCCCGCACTGTTTCCTGTTGGCCAGTCATCTCCCACAGGTCATCATCGAGGCCGTCTTTCATCTGCATCGACGTCCTCATGCCTCGTAGTCCTGCCCGATTCCGCTGTAGGTAGTATGCCTCCATCAGGTTTCCTTCATTTAGTTGCTCGTCGGGTATGAATGTCGTGTCCCATTCGAGTGGGTGTTTGCCGCGGCACCCCAGTCTCCATGCCGTCCTCGCCAGCGCATATCTCGCGACCATCCCCGCGGGTCGTCCCTCTGGTGCCGAGAGCATGTTGTCGATCGTGCTCATCCAGCTCGCCGTGGCTACCTGATACGTGTGCATGCTCCCTTCACCACCATCTTCCTCCGCCGCGTATAGGTGTGCCTTCGGGTATGCTGTTCCTGCTCCCTGTCGCTCTATCGCGTCTCGCCTCGCAACTTCGATGGCGTCGCAGTCCTCCATCGTCATGACGGTCCCTCTTGCAGCCGCTCCGACCACCCCTTCCATCGCGGCGTTCATCGCTCGTTGCATCTCGTCCGCATTTAATTGCGTGAGCGCGCCCACCATTTTCATTAGCCGCGTCGATGTCGACGCAGGGCCCATGGTCCGCCTCAAGGTGAACTGCGTGGACCAAGAGAACTCGTCGCGGTGTACGCGGAATGATGATTTATTTCCAATAAGTTTGTATACCGAAAACAACAAACAAAAGAATCTGTGTGTGGGAACCATGAAGCGGTGGGCGTAGAGACCGCGGCGCAATCGGGGAGAGCGGAGAGACACAAACGACACAAAACATAGACATACACCGGGGGAAACGCGGTAGCACAGGGGAACAAACGACGAGTCACGTCGAGGGAGAGAGCCCCCACAAGAGGAAAGGGGGGAGAAGGGCGCGGGAGAAGAGGGCGGGTGTGTGGCGGATGGGTTCCTCGGGCAGTGCACCGGCGCTC